AGAGGGAGAGAGGGATATATAGAGAGAGACCACAAGTGGGGGCAGGGGCAGAGGGAGAGGGATAAGCAGACTCCCCACTGAGCAGGGAACCTGATGCAGGGCTTGATCTTAGGACCCCAAGAGCCGAAGACAGATGCCTAACCAACTGAGGTTATCAGGTGCCCTGTTACAGTTCTTTGGTTTTATCTTTATACATTGATAGAGATAGGGATTATTATTTTCACTTTACGTACAATGAAACAGAGGCTCAGAGTGGTTACAAAACTTATAAATGGTAGAGGAGGCAGGGACCCAACTAAGCTGTGTCTGATTTAAAAGTTCATATTCCTTCCATTACACTGAGTCCTCTCTTCGTTCTATGGCATTATCAGCCACAAGTATTTGTTGGCTCAACGGAGAGATGAATGGATGATTGAAAGAAACCATCTGAGGCTTTATGAACAATGCTAATCTGAGAAATAGAAATGTTAATAGAAATCTTTATAAAATTGCTCTGCATTTCTTTTCTTTTTTTTTTTAAAGATTTTATTTATTTATTTGAGACAGAGAGAATGAGAGAGAGAGAGAGCATGAGAGGGAGGAGGGTCAGAGGGAGAAGCAGACCCCCTGCCGAGCAGGGAGCCCGATGCGGGACTCGATCCCGGGGCTCCAGGATCATGACCTGAGCCGAAGGCAGTCGCTTAACCAACTGAGCCACCCAGGCGCCCCAATTGCTCTGCATTTCTAAGTGGCCCCACCTCTTCCGTCAAAGAGAGGCTGCTTCAACCTTCCTATGAAGTGAAAAGGAAACCACTGTGTTCCAGTATACCTACAATTAGGACAGACTCCAGCCAAAATTGGACGGCGGGTGAAGTGAGACTTAGGTGCTCTTCTTTCTCTGCACTTGGTGGCTCCCGCTGAGCACTATCGATATAGTCACCCCCGGACCTGAGTCTGGGCAAACCTCCAGAATTAACTCCAATTCACTTAGTTCTGCAGTCTTGGCTGCTAGTGGAGCTAAGAGGAGTCAGCTTAGAGGAGAATTCACATAGGGGAGTTTAGCTCATAGAATTTGGAACCAAATAGATTAGCTTAAAAAAAAAAATATGTCCTCCACTTATTAGTTCTGTCACTTTGGGTAAGCCACTTAACCAATCAATCCAAAACTTTGGAATATAGAAATTTCCTCATGTGGTTGGCATCAGGATTAATTGTGTAGATAAAGAGTGAGGCTCACAGTAGATACCTATTAAGATATAGCTACTTTTTATAGTTTTTAGATGAATTTTTGGTAACTATAAGGCCTGTACTTTTTGAACCAAAAACAAAGAAAAATTTTTGAGTTTTGTGATTTTATTTATATCATAAACCTTACAAAACTAAAAAATATAGAGTTAAATAATTTACAGTCACTTCTGTTAAAGAGAAAAAAATATGTATATTTAGAATTATCCTAGAATTTGGGCTTACCTTACTTACTTTGGATTTTCACCTTGGTTTACTCCTCTTTGGAGATTTTCTATTCTGAAACATACAGCAGATGCCCATTTTATGGGCACTTGGGTCCTACTGGGAATAGGACACTGTCCAATGTGCATCCTCCTTCTCTACCACCAACTTGGAAACAAAGGGGAAGCTCCCATGAAAGTGTAGGGATACAGTTCTCCATGAGACTCTCAGGTTTCTGCAAAATATGCAAGCATAACTAATTGTTCTTTCATTCTACTTTACCTTTATTCAGATATTTGTGGAGTAAAAGCTTTAGCCTCTCCTTGCAGAGCCAAGTGCAGGTTTGTTGTTTGTCCAGTATAATAAAGATGCTTCCCTTTGGGGCAAACATTGGCAGGTTTGTTCCCAGCTCATTAACAGATTCAGGTTCTCTAAGCTCAGGGTTCCACTGCATGCTCTTCATCCACCCAGGCCCCCTCTCCCTCCACACCATGGGACTTGGGAAGAAAGGAAAACCAACTCATGCTGCTTGCTGTGCCGTGATTAACAAAGTCTGTTGTCTCTAGTACAGGATTCTCTTGTCTTTTGCCAGCATGAAAATGTGACAGACTAACCTGTCAGCTTGAGAGTAGATAAAAATTCACATCGTTTACAGTTTTTGACAAAAAGCGTGTGAAAACATGGAAATGTGGTATGTTAGCCTAGAGGGCTCAGAAATCTCTTCTGATTGGGAAGTGCAGGTGGCTGAAGGAAATTGTCCCACCTGAAGGAAAGTGCAGGTGGCTGAAGGAAAGTGCAGCTGGCTGAAGGAAATTGCAGGTGGCTGAAGGAAATTGTCCCATAAGTAATACCTGATGTAAGTTTTGAAAGATGAGCAGAAGGTGACTGAGTGAAGAAGACTAAGAGATGTGACGAATTCCAGGCAAAAGAAATGAGATACAGATGTGCATATGTTTGTGGGAAATTGGAATGTTAGAGTTTGGATTGCAAGGGGTTTGGCTTGGCAGGTGGATCTAAAAAGCAGTTTGGGAATATACTGAGAAAAGAAAGAAGAAAAACTGATTTCTAGATTTTCTGCTCTACTAACAGTCTCATGTGAATAGTCTTATTTTACTAAGATCGCAACTTTCTTGGGTAGGTATTACTAGCCTTTATAAAGAAATTAAGACTCTGAGAATTTCAATAATTTCTGTAAGATTAAAAAGCAAATAAATACTAGAACAATGGTATAAAACCAATGTTCTTTCCATACCATCTTCAATCACTTGGTGAGGATTTTTAAATTTTTATTCTGTAGGTAATGTCAGGAACCATCTGTCTTTTTACATTTTGTTGTTATTATTTTCTTGTATCCTTAATGTCAAGATGTCCTGATTAAGTCCATGGTAGATGGGCAGTTTGGAAGCAGCATGAGTTATTGGATAAGGGTTGTCTGGTAAGTGTGAGAATAGTTATGAGATCATTGTAGTGATCCATTTGAGCGTCTTTAAGGAGACTGAATTGGGTAATGAAAATCCTGATGGAGAAGAGAGAATAATTCATAGAGTTTAGAAGTATAGTATATCATAAAGGTGAAATGATTAAAAAGAGTAGTGCAGAGTTTTATAACTTGGATGCCTAGATGATTTCAATTAGCTGAAATGGGTGATTCTGGTGGAGGAACTTTGAGGGACAACATTGTGAATTAAATTTATAAAATAAATAAGATGGGAAAGAATGAACTTCTGATGGTGAAATTTCAGGCAATTTTTGCTTTGTGGAAGATAAATTTTGAAATTAGGGATGTTCAGTTTTTCATGGAGTTGACAAATTATTTTTTTATTGGTAATTACAACATAATAATTAAAGATTTTAAATTGTACAGATATTAGATAGCATTTAGCAGAAATATTTTCTGGTAAGAAACACAAACACACACAAAAGAATATATGAGTATTAACAAACTATAGAAATGATCCCTGAACAGAAACAATGAATACCCACCATTTGCATCGACATGGATGGAACTAAAGGGGATTATGCTAAGTGAAGTAAGTCAAGCAGAGAAAGACAATTATCATATGGTTTCATTCATATGTGGAACATACGGAATAGCATGGAGGACCATAGGGTAACGGAGGGAAATCTGAAGGGGGATAAATCAGAGAGGGAGATGAACTATGGGAGATTATGGACCCTGGGAAACAAACTGACGGTTTCAGAGTGGAGGGAAGAGGGAGGAGGGGGTAACAGGGTGATGGGTATTAAGGAGGGCTCGTGCTGTGATGAGCACTGGGTGTTATACGTAACTAATGAATTATTGAACACTACATCAAAAACTAATGATGTACTATACAGTGGCTAACTGAACATAATTTAAAAAAATGAGTATTAGTATGTTAATTTGCCCACTCTATTTTTTACTGTACTTCATTAAAAGTCTTGTTAGTAATATGGGGCCCCTGGGTGGCTCAGTCAGTTAAATATTCAACGCTTGATATTGGCTCAGGTCATGATCTCAGGGTTGTGAGATCAAGCCTGGCATTGGGCTCTGCACTGGGAGTGAAAACCTCCTTAGGATTCCCTCTCTCCCTCTGCCCCTCCCCTGCTCATGCTCTCTCTCTGACAACAACAAAAAAAGTCTTATTAGTAATATTATTTCAGATTTTTACTGAAAGAACAATTCCCCTCCCTGACTAAGTAATTTTGTCTCAAAACAGTTGGCAGATACCTCCTTTTCTATACCTTCTAATCAGCTCTCTGTGAAACCCCCTCCAAAAATTGAGTCCTTAAAAAGATTTGAAGAAGGGTGGCTCATGCCCAGAAAAAAGGCCAAGATTTCTCTAACTTTGGCAATTGACTTTACTTGTTCTTTACACTAGCTTGTAAAAAGAAAGCCTGAATGATTCATATCATCTGTGGATTTAAATGGGTTTCTCCTACTACTCAAAAAGATGTAGCTTTCTTTTGAAAATGAAAAATAATGTTTCTTTTGCAAAACTTTTTGTTGAGCAAAAAGATTGTGTATATGCACATAGTGAGTTTCAGATCACTGTTTAGTCAGAGCTCCAGTTAACTGGCTGATTCACCACCACCACCAATGCCAGGATCATTTTTCTCACTTAACGATGGGGACAACTGGCTGGACGTAAACCGATGTTCATTCATCCGGTATGTTGCCTAACAACCGATTCATTCTTAAGTTTTCATGAGGAAGCACACACACACACACACACACACAAACCAAAGAGGAGGAGGGTAATAGTAAAATGGGAGCTGTTACATGATGGAAATAAAACCTTGAAGGGGGGATTCTTTATTACCTTGCAAATGCAGTTTGCCCCTCAAATTCCTGTACAGAAAGATTTTTTTTAAAAGATTTTATTTATTTATTTGACAGAGAGAGACACAGTGAGAGAGGGAACACAAGCAGGGAGGAGTGGGAGAGGGAGAGGCAGGCTTCCCCCTGAGCAGGAAGCCCTACGCAGGGCTCGATCCCAGGACCCTGGGATCATGACCTGAGCCGAAGGCAGACGCTTAACGACCGAGCCACCCAGGCACCCCAGAAAGATTTTCAACGGTAGACAGTTCGAATGTTTGAATATGAAAGTCAGGGCATTTCTTTTTACATTATAAGTAAGGCCTCTGCAGCCCTTAGACCTGCTGCTTTCTGAAGAACCTGCTGACAAATGTATTGTAGTCTGGTTCTGGTCAAGCAAAATTAACTTTTAACACCAGTTCCTCATACCATGCTCCTGCCGTCACCCAGCATGTGCCCTATTTTAAGGTCACCACCATTATCAATGGGGAGTTCAAAGACCTAAGCCTTGGTGACTTTAGGAGGAAATACTTGGTGCTTTTCTTCTATCCTTTGGACTGCATCTTTTTGTGTCCTACAGAAATTGGTGCTTTTAGTGACAAAGCCAACAAATTTCATAATGTGAACTGTGAAGTTGTGGTTTCAGTGGATTCCCACTTCATCTGTCTTGCCTAGATCAACACAGTAAGGAAGAATGGTGGTTTGGGCCACATGAACATCGCACTCGTGTCAGATTTGACTAAACAGATTTCCTGAGACTATGGCATGCTGTTAGAAGACCTGGGTATTGCTCTAAGAGGTCTCTTCATCATTGACCCCAGTGGAATCATCAAGCATTTGAGTGTCAATGATCTCCCCGTGGGCCTAAGTGTGGAAGAGAACCCCCGCCTGGTGAAGGTGTTCCACTTTGTGGAAACCCATGGAGAAGTCTGCCCAGCAAACTGGACCCCAGATTCTCCTACAATCAAGCCACATCCAACTGCTTCCAAAGAATACTTTGAGAAGGTAAATCAGTAGATCATCCCATGTGTACCCATAGCTTCTCACACCAGGAAAGAGCCACAGGTGGAACTCACTTTTAGCATTTCAAAGATGATTATTTATAGAAGACAAAACACCAATTATGCTTGTATTCATAAATAATACTCTAAATGTTTTCTTTTTGTAACATTGGCTAAGGCTTTTAAATGTACTCACACACATAAAGTGTCCTTTATTGATAACTCTTGATGGCTAGCTAGTTTATAGAATGCTAGTTCACATATTCTTTGGATTGTGTCTTCAATGGGAAGAGGAATCATTCTTTCTTGGCCTTTCTTGAACTTTAATGTACACCAGAGTAGTACAGCAAAGTACCAAAGCTTCTGATCAAGGGTCCTGAAAGTTTCTTCTAGAATTTCTTTGCACTAAACTGAATTTTCTTTTAAGGGAACAAAGATCATAATCCTACATAGTTTTAAGGTGTTAACCTCAGTGGTCTAATTCAACTCTTGCAATGGTTGTATATGTACTTGAAACAAATGTGAATCATGTTTTTAAAAAAACACGGTGGCAAAGTGACTTAAGTGATCATGCATGTTTCTCATCCCTGAGATTAATATAGTTATTTTACCTGTTAGCTGACATAGGGTCTACATACAATTCTAGATATTGATTGGTTGTAGTTATAAAGGATATTTATTGAATCCAGAAATTGCACTTTGAAATCATTGTAATAATTTTCTTTTCTGAAGTGCTCAATGCAAAGTACATAATAAAACATTTTAAAAAATATACATCAAAAGAAATGTTCGACTATATATTCAGTTAGAATAAAGTCAGTAAGAAAGTATGTGACTTCTAGTTTGATGTGTTCAAAGCTTCATTTCATAGTAAACCCCAGATATTTATTTGCTAAAAATGCTATCACAGTAATCAGAGCCTTCAAAATTTGATCTGCAAACAGAAAGACTAGAAGTTGAAGTGAATTATCCTCTTTGCAAATATTTTTGCTGAAAAATATTTTCAGCTTTGAGGGCCTTACTGTCTGGTCTCAGTCATAGCTACTCAACTCTGCTATTGTAGTGTGAAAGCAGCCATAGACAACACATAAATGACTTAGTGTGGCTATGTTTCAATAACACTTTATTTATAAAATCAGGTTACAGGCTGGATTTGGCCAGTGAACTATAGATTTCCAACCCCTGGTTTAAATTATTCTTATATTTGGATGTGAGGGCGATCTGGCTGCGACATCTGTCACCCCATTGATCGCCAGGTTGATTCAGCTGATCTGGCTGGCTAGGCGGGTGTCTCCTTTCTCCCTCATTGCTCCATGTGCGTCCCTCCCGAAGCTGCGTGCTCGGTTGAAGAGGACGACCTTCCCCGATAGAGGAGGACCGTTCTTTGGTCAAGCGTATAGGAGTAGCCGCACTCTCCTGCTAGACCTCCAAACAAGCTCTCAAGGTGCATTTGCAGGAGAACGTAGGGTAGTCAAGCTTCCAAGACTCCAGACACATCCAAATGAGGTGCTGCATGTGGCAGTCTGCCTTTCTTTAAAAAATAAATAAATAATAAGTAATAAATAAATTATTCTTATATTTGCATCCAAGCCCCAACTTTCCAGTGCTTAGTACAATGCTTAAAAGGGACATAATTAAGTTTTGTTGAATGAATAAATGAATTATTAAAATAGAGTAATAGAAAAACTGTGTGAATTCATTCACAAATTCAACATGTATATATTCAGTATCAGATACAGGACACAATTCTAGACTCTGGAGCTAGGAGAGTAGGCTAATTGGCCAAAAATAAAATCCCTGCCCTTATAGACATTACATTCTTGAGGGACAGCAAACAATACTTGAGATAAATAACACAATATGTAGTATGTTAAATGGAAATAGTAGGTAATTAAGAAATAAGGCATGTAAGGATAGGGCTTGTAGGAGCATTGGCCATTTTAGATTAGGTAGCCAAGGAAGGCTTTATATAAAGGTTACATTTGAGTAAAAACCAGAAGAAAGTGGGAGTAACATGTTCTAGGCATAAGAAACAACAAATGCAAAAGATCTTAAAGAGGTATATTAGTGTTTTAAAGGTGTCAATTCTTTTTCTATTTTCTTTATATTTTAAAGCACTTTTTCAAATAAGATCTTATTTACATGTAATGAAATACACCCATTTTAAATGTAATGAATGTAGTTTATGATGTCATGTGTTCCATAAGTTCTTGAATGTTTGACACCCCCCTCAAATATAGATTATCTTAAAATAGCCAAAGAAACTATTCAGAAAAAAAGCATCATCAAAATAAATGAAAGTTTCTCATACACATATTATACTGGATAAGTATTTAGTAAGAACGTCAATTTAATACAAAAGCTCAACAACTAGGTAAAAATATTACATGTCCAATTTCCATTTTTTAGATCTTCTAGTGTTTGTTTTTATAATTGTCATAATATGTTTAATCCTTGATTTCCTGAGGTAATCTTTCAGACAGTTATATAGTTATGTATACAGTAAACAGCCACTAGCCACAGGTAGCTGGTAAGCATTTGAAATGTGTCTTTAGGTGTAGGGTTAGGTTGTGTATTTGAGACCCTTCTTGTTTCTTTAGAAAGGCTTGTACTGCTATATACTTTCCTCTTAGGACTGCCTTTGCTGCATCCCAAGGACTTTTGAACAGTTGTGTTTTCATTTTCATTTGTTGCCATGAATTTTTTAAATTCTTCTTTAATTTCCTGGTTGACCCATTCATTCTTCAGTAGGATGCTCTTTAGCCTCCATGTATTTGAGTTCTTTCTGACTTTCCTCTTGTGATTGAGTTCTAGTTTCAAAGCATTGTGGTCTGAAAATAGGCAGGGAATGATCCCAATCTTTTGGTACTGGTTGAGACCTGATTTATGACTTAGGCTGTCATCTATTCTGGAGAATGTTCCATGGGCACTAGAGAAGAATGTGTATTCCGTTGCTTTGGCATGGAATGTTCTGAATATGTCTGTGAAGTCCATTTGGTCCAGTGTGTCATTTAAAGTCTTTATTTCCTTGTTGATCTTTTGCTTAGATGATCTGTCCATTTCAGTGAGGGGGGTGTTAAAGTCCCCCACTATTATTGTATTGTTGTCAATGTGTTTCTTTGCTTTTGTTATTAATTGCCTTATATAATTGGCTGCTCCCATGTTAGGGGCATAGATATTTACAATTGTTAGATCTTCTTGTTGGATAGATCCTTTAAGTAGGATATAGTGTCCTTCCTCATCTCTTATTACAGTCTTTGGTTTAAAATCTAATTTGTCTGATATAAGGATTGCCACCCCAGCTTTCTTTTGTGTCCATTAGCATGGTAAATGGTTTTCCACCCCCTCACTTTCAATCTGGGGGTGTCTTTGGTTCTAAAATGAGTCTCTTGCAGACAGCATATCGATGGGTCTTGTTTTTTAATCCAGTCTGATAGCCTATGTCTTTTGATTGGGGCATTGAGCCCATTTACATTCAGGGTAACTATTGAAAGATATGAATTTAGTGCCATTGTATTGCCTGTAAGGTGACTGTTACCGTATATTGTCTGTGTTCCTTTCTGGTCTGTGTTGCTTTTAGGGTCTCTCTTTGCTTAGAGGACCCCTTTCAAGATTTCTTGTTGGGCTGGTTTTGTGTTTGCAAATTCCTTTAGTTTTTGTTTGTCCTGGAAGCTTTTTATCTCTCCTTCAATTTTCAATGAAAGCCTAGCTGGATATAGTATTCTTGTCTGCATATTTTTCTCATTTAGTGCTCTAAATATATCCTGCCAGTCCTTTCTGGCCTGCCAGGTCTCTGTGGATAGGTCTGTTGCCAATCTAATGTTTCTACCCTTGTAGGTTACATATCTCTTCTCCCGAGCTGCTTTCAGGATTTTCTCTTTGTCTATGAGACTCGTAAATTTTACTATTAGATGTCGGGGTGTTGACCTATTTTTATTGATTTTGAGGGGTTCTCTGTGCCTCCTCGATTTTGATGGCTGTTTCCTTCCCCAAATTAGGGATGTTCTCTGCTATAATTTGCTCCAATATACCTTCTGGCCCTCTCTCTCTTTCTTCTTCTTCTGGGATCCCAATTATTCTAATGTTGTTTCGTCTTATGGTATCGCTTATCTCTCGAATTCTGCCCTCGTGATCCAGTAGTTGTTTATCTCTCTTTTTCTCAGCTTCTTTATTTTCCATCATTTCATCTTCTATATTACTGATTCTCTCTTCTGCCTCATTTATTCTAGCAGTTAGCGCCCCCATTTTTTATTGCACCTCATTAATAGCCTTTTTGATTTCTACTTGGTTGGATTTTAGTTCTTTTACTTCTCCAGAAAGGGTTTCTCTAATAACTTCCATATTTTTTTCAAGCCCAGCTAGTATCTTTAAAGTGATGATTCTGAACTCTAGATCTGACATCGTACTAATGTCCGTATTGAGTAGGTCCCTGGCAGTGGTATTACCTCTTGTTCTTTTTGTTGAGGTGACTTTTTCCATCTTGTCATTTTGTGCAGAGGAGAATAGATTAATGAGAGAACAAAATGCTAGCAGAGTAACAACATCCCCAGAAAATATACTCTAAACAAATCAGAAAAGACCTGAAGCAGTGGGAAAAGAAAGGCAAAGAGAGAAAAAAGAAAAAGAAAAAAAAGAAAAAGATAAAGATAAAAACAAAAACAAACAAAACAAAACAACAACAACAACAAAAAAACAGAATGTGATCAAATATGATCAGGCTGGTATATAGATCAGTGCCACACACTAGATTTGGGGTGTATTTTGGTCTTTTAGAAGAAAGTGCCTCCCAAAATTTTAAAGAAAGAAAAACTTATATATGTACAAAAATAAGGGTTGATATGATGAAGGGATGGAATATGACTGTAAAGATGGAAATTATAAAAAATTTTATAAAAGGAATTGATAAGAAGTTGTTTGAAAAAAGAAAGAAGAGGATTTAAAAAAAGAAAAAAGAAAAAAAAAAGGAGAGGATGTGATCAGGCAGGGGAATAGAAAACACCATATACTAGAGATGTAGGGTATATTTTAATCTGTTAAAAGAAACTATCTCAAAATTTTAAAGAGAGAACAACTTATATATATAAGCCAAAATACGGGTAACTACTATGAAGGGATAGAATATGACTCTAAAAATGAAAAATAAAAATTTTTTTTTAAAAAAAGGGATCGATAAGATATTGGTTGAAAAAGGGAAAAAGAAAAATTCAAAAAGAAAAAAAAGAAAAAAAATTAAAAAAAATTAACTTTGAAAGACTAAAGAATCATGGTAAAAAAGCCGTGAATTCTATGTGCAGTAGTCCCCTAGCGCTGGAGTTCTGCCGTTCTCATTGATCGGTAAACTTGGTCTTGGCTGGCTGTTCTCGCTGATCTTCTGGGGAGGGGCCTGTTGCCGTGGTTTCCAAATGTCTCTGCCGGAGGCGGAATTGCCCCGCCCTTGCCCCCTCCCGGCTAAGTAATCTGCTCGGGTTTGCTCTCCGGGGCTTTTGTTCCCTGCGAGCTTTCCGTACAGCTTTGGAGGCGGAGAGTGAAAATGGCGGCCTTCCAATCTCCACTCCGGAGGAGCCGAGAACTCGGGTCCCTGCTCCTCAGTGAGCCCCCAGAGAAAAACCGCCAGTCACTCCCATCTCCCCGGTCTCCAGCCGCACTCCGTGCTCACCTGGCCTGTGACCGTGCGTTTCTCTCTCTGGCACCCGACCCCGGGTGGAGTCTCCAAACCCAGCAGGCCCTGCGATGCGCTCCCGCATGGCTCCTCCCGGGGAAGGAAGGTG